GCCTTACCCAAGTTTGTAAGGGGGACTGGTCTGGTGCATGGGACAGTCATAGGCTGACCCTCGACCAGCCTAAGTTAAAGGCTTTAAGAGACATCAGCCTGAAACCCAACCTTGCCCTTGCGATTTTCATGAAGTCTAAAACGAAATCGCGGATGTGTTTTCCGTAGAGTTTAACATGAATTTTTCACGATATCCTCAAAACAATGAATTAAATTCGTTCGGGGATACAGTTGTGGAAATAGTGAGTAGGGAAGATGGTTACAGTGATGAGGACAGTTATGGTGATGATGGGCTCTGGTTCTCGGTCTGGAGTGGCCTCTCCAGGGTGCGAAGCCAGGGTAGGTTGATACGGGGGGAGAAGCTGTTACCCATGCAGCAGGTCTCCTTTCTGCACGGCGCCGAAAGTTTCCAATAGAAAGGCAAACGCCAGTACGATTGGTTCCAGCGCCGTCGCTGGAACTGTCAGTTGAAGGCAACATCGAACTGCCGAAGAGGCTCCAGCTCCGGAAGTAACCTCGAAGTTGGTAAGAGAAGGCGAAGATATATATATAAAGATAGAAGATAGATAGATAGATAGATAGATAGATAGATAGATAGATAGATAGATAGATAGATAGATAGATAGATAGATAGATAGATAGATAGATAGATAGATAGATAGATAGATAGAAAAGGAAACACAGAAAGAGAGATAGAGTTATAGACAGATATCTAGTGATAAAAAGACAGAAAGAGCGAGAAGACAGACAGACATACAGAGAGACCCGGGCAACGCCGGATACCTCTCCGTAGTATACTATAAAAGACAACGTCTGTTCTTTTGTCTGTCTGTCTGTCGTTGGAGACTAGACGCTCAGGGGCAGTTTCACCCAAATTTGCATGAGGAATGGTCTGAGGTATGGGACGGACATAGGCTGGTCGTGGTAGACATAAGTTAAACGCTTTAAGGAATATACTTCCCTTTATAAACACCCCTTCCCCACTCCATGAAATTTTTATAGTCAAGAATGAAATATATAGTGTGATCTCCCTAGAGTTTTTAATTATCGTAAAATATTTTCTGAGGCTGACACTGGCCTATGGCACATACATATATCTCTCATGTTTCAAGCTGTAGAGTTGCGTGAAGTGCATATATACCCCGAGTATATATGGCCTCCTACTTTGGCCAGATAGGCATACATTGTATTATATAAATATAGCTATATGCAAGCCACAATAGCCTGGGTAAACATTTCATTCATTTGAGATCATCGACGACCCGAACACTGACCCTGTACGGGTCTGTCCTCCTACCGACCGCTCCCTGGACGCCCACAATAAGGCTCGTAGAGAAACATATATATAAATCTGAAGCCCAAACCTGCACTGTGAGCCATACAATGTGGACAGCAGAACTGTGGCTGAGAACCACCAAGGTGGAACATGTCTGAGTCTATCATGCACAGTTCCTCTTGCATGTTTGTGGGCGTTACAACACTACGTTGTTGTTAAGAGGTGAGTAGATTGTTCACGGTAGATGTGGGGATATTTTCCGTTGTATATGTGGGTATTTTGTCTGTTGTATATGTGGGTATTTTGTCTGTTGTATATGTGGGTATTTTGTCTGTTGTATATGTGGGTATTTTGTCTGTTAGATATGTGGGTATTTTGTCTGTTGTGTATGTGGGTATTTTGTCTGTTGTATATGTGGGTATTTTGTCTGTTGTATATGTGGGTATTTTGTCTGTTGTATATGTGGGTATTTTGTCTGTGTGTATGTGGGTATTTTGTCTGTTGTATATGTGAGTATTTTGTCTGTTGTATATGTGGGTATTTTGTCTGTTGTATATGTGGGTATTTTGTCTGTTGTATATGTGGGTATTTTGTCTGTTGTATATGTGGGTATTTTGTCTGTTGGATATGTGGGTATTTTGTCTGTTGTGTATGTGGGTATTTTGTCTGTTGTATATGTGGGTATTTTGTCTGTTGTATATGTGGGTATTTTGTCTGTTGTATATGTGGGTATTTTGTCTGTTGTATATGTGGGTATTTTGTCTGTTGTGTATGTGGGTATTTTGTCTGTTGTATATGTGGGGATATTTTCCGTTGTATATGTGGGTATTTTGTCTGTTGTATATGTGGGTATTTTGTCTGTTGTATATGTGGGTATTTTGTCTGTTGTATATGTGGGTATTTTGTCTGTTAGATATGTGGGTATTTTGTCTGTTGTATATGTGGGTATTTTGTCTGTTGTATATGTCGGTATTTTGTCTGTTGTGTATGTGGATATTTTGTCTGTTGTATATGTGGATATTTTGTCTGTTGCACATATGGGTAGATTCTACGATGCAGATAAAGGTAGATTGTGTGTGTTGATGTGGGTAGATTACCTGATGTAGATCTGGATAGAATGTCTGGGATACATATGGGTAGACTGTGCGGTGAAGATGTGAGTAGATTGAGTGACCCGGGTAGATTGTGAGGTGTTGCAGTAGATAAGGTTATGGATTGCAAGGCTCTGTGGCAACAATGCCATTGGTAGTCCTGCAGGAGGCTGTGGCACCTACTGCAGGGAGAATCGTGTGGCACCCTTTGCCTCGACTGTGGTGAGTCTTGGTGAGTCTTGGTGAGTCTTGGTAAGTCTTGGTGAGTCTTGGGGAGTCTTGGTGAGTCTTGTTGAGTCTTGGTTGACAGTGGTGAGTCTTGGTGAGTCTTGGTGAGTCTTGGGGAGTCTTGGTTGACGGTGGTGAGTCTTGGTGAGTCTTGGTGAGTCTTGGTGAGTCTTGGTGAGTCTTGGTGAGTCTTGGTGAGTCTTGGGGAGTCTTGGTGAGAGTCTTGGTGGGTCTTGGTGAGTCTTGGTGGGTCTTGGTGGGTCTTGGTGGGTCTTGGTGGGTGGTGGGTCTTGGTGGGTCTTGGTGGGTCTTGGTGGGTCTTGGTGGGTCTTGGTGGGTCTTGGTGGGTCTTGGTGGGTCTTGGTGGGTCTTGGTGGGTCTTGGGGAGTCTTGGTGAGTTGGTGAGTCTTGGTCTTGGTGGGTCTTGGTGAGTCTTGGGGAGTCTTGGTGAGTCTTGGTGAGTCTTGGTGAGTCTTGGTGAGTCTTGGTGAGTCTTGGTGAGTCTTGGTGAGTCTTGGTGAGTCTTGGTGAGTCTTGGTGAGTCTTGGTGGGTCTTGGTGAGTCTTGGGGAGTCTTGGTGAGTCTTGGTGAGTCTTGGTGAGTCTTGGTGAGTCTTGGAGTCTTGGTGACAGTGGTGAGTCTTGGTGAGTCTTGGGGAGTCTTGGTTGACGGTGGTGAGTCTTGGTGAGTCTTGGTGAGTCTTGGTGAGCCTTGGGGAGTCTTGGTGGGTCTTGGTGAGACTTGGTGAGTCTTGGTGAGTCTTGGTGGTGAGTCTTGGGGAGTCTTGGTGAGTCTTGGTGAGTCTTGGGTGAGTCTTGGTGAGTCTTGGTGAGTCTTGGTGGTCTTGGTGAGTCTTGGGGAGTCTTGGTGAGTCTTGGTGAGTCTTGGTGAGTCTTGGTGAGTCTTGGTGAGTCTTGGTGAGTCTTGGTGAGTCTTGGTGGTGAGTCTTGGTGAGTCTTGGTGAGTCTTGGTGAGTCTTGGTGAGTCTTGGTGAGTCTTGGTGAGTCTTGGTGAGTCTTGGTGAGTCTTGGTGAGTCTTGGGGAGTCTTGGTGAGACTTGGTGAGTCTTGGTGAGTCTTGGTGGGTCTTGGTGAGTCTTGGGGAGTCTTGGTGAGTCTTGGTGAGTCTTGGTGAGTCTTGGTGAGTCTTGGTGGGTCTTGGTGAGTCTTGGGGAGTCTTGGTGAGTCTTGGTGAGTCTTGGTGAGTCTTGGTGAGTCTTGGTGGGTCTTGGTGAGTCTTGTTGAGTCTTGGTTGACAGTGGTGAGTCTTGGCGAGTCTTGGGGAGTCTTGGTGAGTCTTGTTGAGTCTTGGTTGACAGTGGTGAGTCTTGGCGAGTCTTGGTGAGTCTTTGTGAATCTTGGTGAGTCTTGGGGAGTCTTGGTTGACGGTGGTGAGTCTTGGTTGACGGTGGTGAGTCTTGGTGAGTCTTGGTTGACGGTGGTGAATCTTGGTTGACGGTGGTGAGTCTTGATGAGTCTTGGTGAGTCTTGGTGTGTCTTGGGGAGTCTTGGTTGACAGTGGTGAGTCTTGGTGAGTCTTGGTGAGTCTTGGTGAGTCTTGGGGAGTCTTGGTTGACGGTCGTGAGTCTTGGTGAGTCTTGGTGAGTCTTGGGGAGTCTTGGTTGACGGTGGTGAGTCTTGGTGAGTCTTGGGGAGTCTTGGTGAGTCTTGGTGAGTCTTGGTGAGTCTTGGTGAGTCTTGGTGAGTCTTGGTGAGCCTAGGTGAGTCTTGGGGAGTCTTGGTGAGTCTTGGGGAGTCTTGGTGAGTCTTGGTGAGTCTTGGTGAGTCTTGGGGAGTCTTGGTGAGTCTTGGGGAGTCTTGGTGAGTCTTGGGGAGTCTTGGTGAGTCTTGGTCGACGGCTTTGAGTCTTGGTGAGTCTTGGTGAGTCTTGGTCGACGGTGGTGAGTCTTGGTGAGTCTTGGTCGACTGTGGTGAGTCTTGGTGAGTCTTGGTGAGTCTTGGTCGACGGTGGTGAGTCTTAGTGAGTCTTGGCGAGTCTTGGTGAGTCTTGGTCGACTGTGGTGAGTCTTAGTGAGTCTTGCTGAGTCTTGGTCGACGGTGGTGAGTCTTGGTGAGTCTTGGTCGACGGTGGTGAGTCTTGGTGAATCTTGGTCGACGGTGGTGAGTCTTGGTGAGTCTTGGTCGACGGTGGTGAGTCTTGGTGAGTCTTGGTCGACGGTGGTGAGTCTTGTTGAGTCTTGGTTGACGGTGGTGAGTCTTGGTGTACGGTGATGAGTCTTGGTCGACGGTGATGAGTCTTGGTTGACGGCGATGAGTCTTGGTCGACGGTGATGAGTCTTGGTGAGTCTTGGTCGACAGTGGTGAGTCTTGGTGAGTCTTGGTCGACGGTGATGAGTCTTGGTGAGTCTTGGTCGACGATGGTGAGTCTTGGTGAGTCTTGGTTGACGGTGGTGAGTCTTGGTTGACGGTGGTGAGTCTTGGTCGACGGTGGTGAGTCTTGGTCGACGGCGATGAGTCTTGGTCGACGGTGGTGAGTCTTGGTTGACGGTGATGAGTCTTGGTCGACGGTGAAGAGTCTTGGTCGACGGTGATGAGTCTTGGTCGACGGTGGTGAGTCTTGGTTGACGGTGATGAGTCTTGGTTGACGGTGGTGAGTCTTGGTCGACCGTGTTGAGTCTTGGTCGACGGTGGTGAGTCTTGGTCGACGGTGGTGAGTCTTGGTTGACGGTGATGAGCCTTGGTTGACGGTGGTGAGTCTTGGTTGACGGTGATGAGCCTTGGTTGACGGTGATGAGTCTTGGTCGACGGTGGAGAGTCTTGTTGAGTCTTGGTCGATGGGATGAGTCTTGTTGAGTGTTGGTCGACGGTGGTGAGTCTTGGTCGACGGTGGTGAGTCTTGTTGAGTCTTGGTTGACGGTGGTGAGTCTTGATGAGTCTTGGTTGACGGTGGTGAGTCTTGATGAGTCTTGGTTGACGGTGGTGAGTCTTGGTTGACGGTGGTGAGTCTTGATGAGTCTTGGTTGACGGTGATGAGTCTTGGTTGACGGTGATGAGTCTTGGTTGACGGTGTTGAGTCTTGTTGAGTCTTGGTTGACGGTTGTGGGTCTTGGTTGACGGTTGTGAGTCTTGGTTGACGGTGATGAGTCTTGGTCGACGGTGGTGAGTCTTGGTTGACGGTGATGAGTCTTGGTTGACGGTGGTGAGTCTTGGTTGACGGTGGTGAGTCTTGTTGAGTCTTGGTTGACGGTGGTGAGTCTTGATGAGTCTTGGTTGACGGTGGTGAGTCTTGGTTGACGGTTGTGAGTCTTGTTGAGTCTTGGTCGACGGTGGTGAGTCTTGGTTGACGGTGGTGAGTCTTGGTCGACGGTGGTGAGTCTTGGTTGACGTTGGTGAGTCTTGTTGAGTCTTGGTCGACGGTGATGAGTCTTGGTTGACGGTGGTGAGTCTTGGTCGACGGTGGTGAGTCTTGGTTGACGGTGGTGAGTCTTGGTCGACGGTGGTGAGTCTTGATGAGTCTTGGTTGACGGTGATGAGTCTTGGTTGACGGTGGTGACTCTTGGTTAACGGTGGTGAGTCTTGATGAGTCTTGGTTGACGGTGATGAGTCTTGGTTGACGGTGGTGACTTGGTTAACGGTGGTGAGTCTTGTTGAGTCTTGGTTGACGGTGGTGAGTCTTGTTGAGTCTTGGTTGACGGTGGTGACTCTTGGTTAACGATGGTGAGTCTTGTTGAGTCTTGGTTGACGGTGGTGAGTCTTGATGAGTCTTGGTTGACGGTGGTGAGTCTTTGTCGACGGTGGTGAGTCTTGTTGAGTCTCGGTCGACGGTGGTGAGTCTTGGTCGACGGTGGTGAGTCTTGGTCGACGGTGGTGAGTCTTGGTGAGTCTCGGTCGACGGTGGTGAGTCTACCCTCTGGTCATCACCTAATGCTTCAATATCTACTGTGTTAACAGGAGAAGTCTTGCGAACTTTGACCTGAAATCTAGTGCCACCATTTCCGTCCAACCTGTTTGCCTCACCATTCACCTCTGACCTCTTGTCCTCTGCACCAGGCACCGAATTGTCCCTTGCAACGCCCTTATATATATATATATATATATATATATATATATATATATATATATATATATATATATATATATATATATATATATATATATATACTTTCGCCTTGTTAAAAACAACTTGCTTCGCAATGAATAACCCTTCCATAGCCTCTATATATATACCTCTTGACGACATATTCAGAACATTTGTTCTATTCGCTAGAATCTATTATGTATTCTTGTGATCTATTTACTTCTGTGGGACTACGTCTGTCTATTTCTTCAGTTGACAATTTTGTGTTTCCTGGGAAGTCGATAGACTCGTTTAGGTGAACCCTAATTTGTTTTGTAACTCTAGGCTCAGTTGCTAGTCGGTTTGATGTTTTTTATTTAAAACACTACTACTGTTGGTATTGCTTTAGCTCTCCTGGACTTTGTTTATTCTTTATAAGAGCATTAAATATTTATTGTTGGACCTCAAGTGCAGATAAATTAGACTCATTATAATTCTTAATTATTCTTGAATCAGCTGCATGGCCGGTTCGGTGAGTCTGTATCATCTCAGACTCAATCTGTATCATCTCAGACATCTCATGAGTATGTATCAAGAGATGTGACAACGCTTCCGGCGTTGTCAAGAACATCTTGAAGAACCAGTGATCTTCCCATATAACATTCTAACGCTCCTGCATAAGCCTCTTCGTCAAGGCACTTTGATTGGTCTATAATGTTTAGAAATATTATTTCTTTAGGGCTTATATCAGGCGTTGCAATATCACACCCGACACTGGCTATTTCTGAATTATTTTCAGACTTTTTTTTACCGATTTTGTCCACTGTCCGGACTCGTGCATCTTAGGCTGTCCTGCGTGTGGCTATAGGAAGTCTGAATCAATTAACATGATTTAATTTATGTTTGGCGTCGTGGAAATTGGATCCGTTGTTATGCTAGAGAGTTGTTCTCCGGGGCAGGAATAACTTCCAAAGTTCTCCACCGGTTTTATAGTAAGTTTTCCGGGTGTTCTTGACTCCGGATCAACTCAGCAGGTCACCATTGAAGGATTTTTCATATTAGTCTGATACTTCGACTTGACAATGGAATCATTGTATATCTTTTTATCATTAGGATCTTCCTCCGCCTTGGCTGGCTCTTCCAAGATGTCTTGTATCATATCAAGTGTTTATAAAGTTATTAACTCTTTCTCCTCATTAGTATCCGCACTGTAAAAGCATCTTTTTGTTTTTTTCAGTATTTTCGAAATCGAGGAATCTGCGTTATTTGGCAACAACGTCATTTCTGAAGAATTTTCAGCGGTTAGAACATGTTTTGGCTGTGTTGGCAGACTTTATAAAACATCTTTAATTGACGTTATTATTGCCTCTTGGCCAAGTTTTCTGATAACATTCAGAACATCACTTCGTGTTATCACCTCACTTCGATAACAAACCAAAAATATATTAGTTGAGCATAAAATCAAAAGTTCGGTTTTCTTTGGGAAATTTTGCACAACAGAACCATTTTCTGTCACGAGAGGTCGCATGGTCTCCGAGGCTGTTATTGATTTCATAGTCGCTTCTAATACACTATGGAAAGCATATGTGCTGCGAGGAGGTATTGACAGCCCAGTATTGACCTCTTCTGACGTAGGCGGTGATGGTGGCTTGGCCGTGGTGATGGGAGCATCTCTAAGGTCAACAGAGGAGGGTAATCTGGTAGTAAGTGTTGAGTACCGTGCAGGTGCTGCTGAAAAAGGCATGGATAACCCTACAGTAGCTTGTGAAGAAGGCGCAAGAGAGGGTCTGGGCATGCGGACACGTTGGTCAATTGTCTTTGAGTTAGGAATCCCCACATATATGAGGAAGCAGTTCAGCAGCAGCAGCAGCAGCAGCAGCAGCAGCAGCAGCAGCAGCAGCAGACACCGCCCCACCGAGGTCGTCCAGCTGCGCCTGCAGCAGGAAATGAAACTAGTAATCCACACTGTCATATTAAGTCACGATGGAAAACCGAGATTATCATGATTCTGGCATGAATCTTCCCGATATTTCTTATGTTTTCTTCACAGAAACATGAAGTTGAAAAATTTACTCTCCAAAGTTCATTTTTACTTTTTATTGGGTCTAGCACCTAGTGATGCGTATCGCAAGGTCACTCCTCACATTCTCAAAGACAAATTCTACCGTACTTAGCACCTGGTAATATCCTCTTATAGTGAGGTGGTTAGGTAGCATATGGATGAATAGGGGATGTTGATAAGGTATTAAATGTATCAACATAGAGTATGACATGTTAGCAGCTTAAGTTATTCTGGTTGCTTCCGTTCCTGTTGCAGGGGCATTTGGTCCTGCCTCTGCAATGGCTCGGGGTCTTGAAGTGGGTAGAGTGTAACTGTGTATTAGCTGGTTGTTGATTGCTCGTCTAGATTTCTTGATATGCAGCGCTTCACTTATGTCTAATCTTCTATTGCCATTGAATCTATCAATTATTTCGGTGTTGCTCGTCAAAATATCCCTGGTGACCGTCTCGTTGTGTGTGGTGATAATTATTTCCACGTCAATAATTATAATTTCCAATGATAGTAAGTATCATTTCCAATGATAATTATTTCCACGTCTTTCAACTGCTTTTGTCCTAGTATTTGAAGTGCAGCTTTTGAGTCTGTGTGTATGATTGCATTTTATGTGTTTTGTGCCAACACATATACGATTGTCTGTTGTATGGCAAACAGCTCAGTTTGGGTTGATGATACTAGTCCTCCCAGTCTCCAGTATGCCTGTACGCTGGTCGTGCAAAGAGCAGCGCCAGCACTCTCATATTCTGTGCCCACCGATCCGTCTGTGAAGATGTGGGTGGCTCTTGCTAGTGCAATGCTGCTCATTTACTTTTCTATTATGCGCCTTAGGATTGTTAGATCATAGGCAGCCTTTTTCATCAGTAGACTTTCTATTACTATTTTGAAGGTAGGGTCCTCTAAGGCGGGGAACAAGTGTAGTTTGGGTGTGGCTGATCACCTCCTCTATCAAGAATCATGCCTTTTAATTGTAATCTGTTTAGGACATTACCCGCTTTGGCAGCCCAATAGTTTCCGTTGTTTTGGCCAAGTCCAACCACCAAGGCCTGCCGTACTGGGACTGGATCAGGGGGAAATAATTATCTTACTGATAATCGTAGCTGTTCTTTGTGATATTTTTTCTTGGCGAGAGGCCAAACCCATCTCCAGTCTTAGAGTTTCAAGCCTGGTCCACATGGGGGCTCCGAGGGCAGCTCTCATAGCAATGTTTTGGGCAACTTCAAGCTTTTTCTACTGTAGGTGTGATAGGCTTGGAGTGCAGGTGCGGCATAGTCGATCACTGATCTGACTGCCTGTACATAGTATGTGCGAAGGTCTTGCAGATTGGCTCCTCCAGAGAGGGAGGTTAGCGACCTGAGGATTGCCGTCCGGACCGAAGTTCTCTATTAAGTGACCTCAGCATTAAAATTCATGTGTGTGTCCAGGATTATTCCTAGATCCTGATAGGTGTCGACCCACTCAATTGGTTGACCCTGTACTGTGAGTTGGATGTTGGGCTTCGCTATTTTTATGGGCATGGCTTTTGACTTTGAGGGGTTGAGTTTGATACTAATCTGCTTTACCTCTTCACTGATGCAGTCTAAGGTGCAAGGGTGCAAGGCGCGCCACATCCCTTCCTTTTATGATGATGTCGTCCGCGTAGTTTAGCAGCCTGCAGTGTTGAGGAAGTTTCAACCTCATTATTCTTTCCTTTAAACAGTTGAAGAGAAGGGGGCTGAGAATACCTCCTTGCGGTGTACTATTTTCATGTCTTTTGTATTCAGAGACTCTGCCATGTTTTACTCTTGCTTCTCTGTTTATGAGATAGTTTTTGGTCCAGGAGAGCAGGTTGCCTTTGACCTCTTTGACGGTAAGGCAGCAGAGAATAGCTGGGGCGCAAGCCAGTTCAAAGGCTTTCTCGAGGTGCAGGAATATCAGCGATTGATTGATTGATTAAGATTAAGCCAACCAGGAAATGGCACGGGCATGAATAGCCCGTAATAATATCAGCGTTCCTGATCTGAATTTACAATGCTTTAGCAAGAGCTTATATTCTCTTGGGAGTTAGGAGGTTACAGGACGTGTTTGAGATGAACAAGTGGATGAAACATAATGGATATTAATAGGCCATTTTTAATAGCCTATGTTCTTGCTTCTACTGTCTCTGTGTTGGCTCGGGGTCTTGAAGTGGGTAGAATGTAAGTATGTGTAACTGGTTGTTGCTGGCTGGTCTTGACTTACTGATGTGTAGGGCCTCGCTGATGTCCAGTCTTCTGTTGTCGTTGTACCTGTCGATTATTTCAGTGTTGCTTGTTAAGATGTCTCTGGTGATGGTCTGGTTGTGGGAGGGGATTATATGCACCCTGATGGAGCCCTGTTGTTTGTGCAGTGTTAATCGCCTAGAAAGAGACGTTATTGTCTTGCCTATATACTGAGATCTTTGGCGCTGACAGTCTCCAAATGGACATGTGAAGGCATAGACGACGTTGGTCTCTTTTTAAGACGTTCTGTTTGGTGTCTGGAGAGTTCTTCATGAGTAGGTTGGCAGTTTTCTTGTTTTTGTAGTAAATTGTTAATTGTATCTTCTGATTTGTGTCTGTGGGGATAACGTTCCTATCAATAATATCTTTCAGAACTCTTTCCTCCGTTTTATATGCCGTGGAAAAATGTTCCTGTAAAACAATTTAATAGAAGGTACAGGTGTAGTGTTAGTTGATTCTTCAGAGATAGCATGGCATATTACCTTTCTTTTAAAGGCATCTTCAACATAACGTTGGAGAAGCTATTTTTTACTAGGTCCTGCCTAATTCTTCAGAGTTCTTCATAGACCTGCTTCCAACCACAGCTGTGAGTGAGAGCCCGGTCGACGTAAGCGTTGACAACACCTCCTCTTGTACCTGTCCGGGCAGTCACTATTGGCATTAAGGCACATTCTTATGCTCATTTCCTTAGTGTAGACTGCAGTGTGGAAGCCACCATTCCTTTCCGTGACTGTTACATCTAGAAAGGGCAGTTTCCCATTATTCTTCATCTCGTAAGTGAAATTTAACACCGATTTTTGCTTGAATGCCTTCTTCAACTGCTGCAGACATCTGGCATCAGGTACCTGCATAAAAATGTCGTCAACATACCTGCAGTATATGGTGGGTTTCAAGTCCATGTCAACTAAGACCCTCTGCTCTATGGTACCCATGTAGGAGTTCGCAAACAGGACACCTAGAGGAGAACCCATGGCGACCGCATCTACTTGCTTGTACTTGCCCATCTGGACTCAAAAAGGGTGCCTCTTTGGTGTAGGATTCGAGTAACTTTCTTAGTATGCTCTTGGGGTATGTCAAGAGGAGTACAAGCCGGAACACGATACACTTTGTCTATCGTGGCGGAGACAGACTCCATACACACCTTCAGATATAGATAAAAAAATAGTTTCGGGGACCTGTAAACCAGTCGATAGAAGGTTGAAAGGCGGGACCAAAGAGCTGAAGCCCCATCCCGTAAAGCTTTTAAAAAAATATAAGAAAACGACAGTTTTCCATAGTTTACCCTTTAAAATTTTCTTAAAATTATGAATGATAGAAAACGATCCAGTATGTATGGATAACAATATAGTTTTGAAATAACTTCAATCAAAATAACGCCCACAAAAAGTTATATCCTCCAAGCCTACTAGGACGCACTCTGGGGAAGGTCAGGAGTTTGGCTCACGGGGAATCTTACACCTGATGATTCTGTTCACCTAACAGTAAATAATTACCCGAGGCAGAGAGAACTGCCCGAAACACTTTGCGTAATAGTGGCTTTAGGCAATGTATGCACTAGCTCTATCTATAAAGCCATCAATGTTTTGTATCTCACCTTGTATGTATGTACTTTACCTGAATAAACATTTGATTTGATTTAATTTGAGCTAGATAACTGTCGTGGCCTTGTAAAGTTGCAATCCTGGAGAAACATAGTCTCCGTGGTGTAGTGGTAAGACACTCGCCTGGCGTATTCGAGCCCTTTGTCATGGGTTCGTATCCTGGCCGGGGAGGATTTACTGGGCGCAAATCCTTAACTATAGCCTCTGTTAACGCAACAGTAAAATGTTTACTTGGATGAAAAAACGATTCTTCGCGGCGGGGATCGTATTCCAGGGACCTGCCCGAAACGCTACGCGTACTAGTGGCTGTACAAGAATGTAACAACTCTTGTATGTATCTCAAAAAAAAAAAAAAAAAAAAGTCCAAGGGGTGAGCATGGTTGGGGAGACCTTGATAATCTTAACAAGTTTCCAGTCCTCATCATTGGGTAACCTCAGCCAAAATTGAGACATCTTCTCTGTGATAAGTCACCATTATGAACACTGACGGCAAACAACCAACCTTGAAGTTAACCTTCTGCTCCGTTGTAATGGCTGCGCGGGCTACCACTTTTGGCTCCTGCAGTTTTGGCTCCAGGTTCCTCCGTACACGGTGAAGGGGGCACGATACTACAAGGTCAGCCAAAGCTTCCGGTGCTACGAGTACTCCCACCACACCAGCAAATGTCAACAGTTCATTCAGAAGTGCAGCCGCTACTCAGCTAATCACCATTATTCCATCCGCAAGTCGGAAACTTTCTGTTGTTTGTTTTGTGATGGCGATCATCCCGCAACCTCCCATCGCTGGCCCCGCAGACAAGGAGTTATCAAGAACCTGGAGAAAGCCAAGTTGTCCTCAGTCGCTGGCGCCAGCTTAAGCAAGTACTTTAGCTACACCCAACCAATCAGCGTCTGCCTCAACCTTCAAGCCGCCACTTTCCTGGAGCTTCCGGGAGGATGAAATAGTGAAATGAAATGGAAATAGTGAAAATGAAAAATATGAAATGAAATATGAAATGAAATGAAAAAAAATGAAATGAAATGAAATGAAATAGTGAAAATGAAAAATACCACCACCACACACCAACAACCTAGCCAATGGGGGCTCAGCTTCCAGCCTACCAGCCCTCATGGAGCCAGCAGTCGCCACCTCCTCGACCAATCACTGTATAGCACAGTACAAACTGTGACATCACTGGCTAGTATGATAGCTGGCACTAACCCCCCAAGAATATGTGAGTTCTAAATATTACCTACAAAGCCAATGGTCTCCCAGTCTTCATCATCAATGATGAAGTCTGGGATGTACATCACCACAATTTCAACCTGAAGTTCTCACACTCCGGATCGGGTCTCGGACATCGTTGTGAGCGGCGTCGTGCTTACGGACCTACTGTCAACAACTGCAACGCCCGCGCCTGCTGCAGCTGTGTCAACAGCTGCAGCGCCCGCGCCTGCTGCAGCTGTGTCAACAGCTGCAGCGCCCGCTGCAGCTGTGTCACAAGCCACCCAGGCGACGCCGCCTCCTCCTCATCCATGGACAACTGCTACAGTTCCACCCCTCGTGTGTGCACCCACTGAAGTATCTACATCTGCTGCAACACCTGCGGCGACATCTCACCTGCAAGAGCTCAACTCTCAAGATTCATCGCCTCTGCTTTTGAGTCGGCCGATTCATCGGACGAGGAAGTTTCTGTTGGATCAACATCTCCTCCTCCACGGAAGTGCCCTTACTCAACTGAAAATTACATTGACAAATAAAATTTTCATAGATTTCGATTTATTTTCATTTTGGTTTAATGATTTTGTGAAACTGCGTTGCAATTGAGCTGTGTTGTTTACCATACCGTTCATTTCGTTTTTAACTGTTTTTTATATATTTCAGTGATGGGAACATCAGACCATTTGATGTTCCCAATTTTCTGTTGGGAACATCAGATCATTTGGGAATGCATCAGACGAGGGAGTGGGGAATGGTGGGGAGGACGAGGGGACGGGAGTGGGGGATGGTGGGGACGAGGGGTCAGGGGATCGGAGAATGTGGGGAGGACAATGGGACAGGGGAGTGAAGGATAGTGGGGAAGATGAGGGGACGAGAGATGGGGAATGGTAAGGAGGACAAAGGGACGGGGGAGTGGGGAATGGTGGGGACGACTAGGGGGACGGATGAGGGAGTTGGGTGTAGTGGGGGAGGACGAGGGGACAAGGGAGTGGGGAATGGTGGGGAGGATGAGGGGACGGGAGAGTGGGGGAATGATTGGGAGGATGAGGGGATGGGGAAGGGAGGAATGGTGGGGAGGACGAGGGGACAGGGGAGTGGGGGATGCTGGGGATGACGAGGGGGCGGGGGAATGGTCGGGAGGATAGGGGGACAGGGGAAGGTTGTTGTGGCTCAGTAACGCTCATGGGTTGCTGAGCCACAGCAAAGTGTGGCTGGGTGCAGCTAGTAGTCAATAAGATTTTAAGAACATAAGTTTTTAATGTTTCGAAGTCAATGGTCCTAATTTAAGTTTAAGCAAAAAAAAAAAGCATAACAATCTAAAAGCATTTATAATTTTCTTTGCTCTTACCTTTAATATTATTGTTTAAGGCTTAGTTACATTCACGGGAGACATCTCCCGTCACGCAGGGTGCAGTCGCACCTCCACAGGTCTCCAGTATCATCTATTGATACTGGTGATGGCTTAAAAGGGCCACCACTTACGGGCTATTCATGCCCGTGCCACCTTTTGGGTGGCTTAATCTTCATCAATCAATCTTAGTTACATCAGCTTTCAGGAATAAGCTCAACGAAGCTTGTCCGTTGGTGTGTTATATCACCCGTTTAGAATAATACAGTTGGTGACTTCAGTAGCGAGTCTGGGTGATATGGTAAGGTGATATCAAACACAGTTCCCGTGGGGAAGTGGTAAGACATTCGCCCGGCGTTTCGCGAGCACTATGGCCTGGGTTTGTATCCTACAGAGGATTTACTGGGCGCTAATCCTTAACTGCATCCTCTGTTTACCCAATAGTAAAATGGATACCAGGTTGTTAAACGATTTGGCGGGTTGTATTCCGGGGAAAATTAGGATTATATACTTAAGGATTAAGGAGTCAAAGATGAAGGACTTGCCCCAAACGGTACGCGTGCTGGAGGCTGAATGTAAGAGCTCTTGATAGACGCATATTCTAAGTACTCCCAAGAGCGTGTCTGATTGTTGACCAGACCACACACTAGAAGGTCCAGGGGCCAGATTCACGAAGCAGCTACGCAAGTACTTACGAACGTGTACATCTTTCCTCGATCTTTGACGGCTTTGGTTACATTTATCAAACAGTTTACAAGCATGAAAACTTCCCAATCAACTGTTGTTATTGTTATAAACAGCCTCCTGGTGCTTCGGAGCTCATTAGCTGTTTAATAATTGTAAACAAAGTCGCCAAAGATTGAGAAAAGATGTGCAGGTTCATAAGTGCTTGCGTAACTACTTCGTGAATCTGGCCCCAGGACCTAGATTCACGAAGCTCCATGTATTTCTTCGTAAGTAGGTGTGCTACGAAGGTTCCTAAGTACCGGCTAAGAACGCGCCAAAGGGCGATTCAGAAAAGTATACTTACGAAGATTTTTAAGTAGTTCACTTAGGTCTCGCTAGATGTCACTAGGGCTTTTAGTTTGGCCAATCAGAGAGAAGGTAACATTTTTCATCTTACAGCTGTAGCCAATCACGACGCTGGCATATCGGAGCTTATCCGTGATGCACTTGCCACTTATTTACGTCGAATTTTCTTATAAAATTAGTATATTTCGAAGTAAAACTATGTTTTTTCAACTTGTACAGTCAGCACCGACATTGTAGTAAACAAATATGTTACATTTTTTGTTTACCTACGTAATTCTAAGAGATAGTGTATAGCTTTCCTTGTCGCTCCCAAGATTTGAGAAGCGATGATATATATTTACGTATATATTTACCTAAATTTACCCAAGGGCCACTAACTATCTAGTGGCCTCGACGAGGACAAAAAGCCGGGGGCTTGTTAAGTCCCGCCAATTGTCCTAATGATATTTACTAGCTGGATTTTGACATTTACGGCTTCAGCGGGTAGGCGGTTCCGTGGGTTTATAACCCTCTGGGTGAAAAAAAAAAACATCTGTTTTCAGTCCTACTTGAGAGGACATACTCTCCAACACTATATCTGTGATTGTCCTGTTATCAGTGACTTCAGACAAAATGGTATGAGGTACTTTGAGCTCTGTAATTACTTCATACACTCAGGAATATTGGAAGATATTCTTGTGCTGTACCCAGATTTTGCTAGTGGAGGCTAATAGATCAGCCTTACATTTCTTGTTATCTCCTGATTCCATGTATGACCGGCCGTCCTGTGAGGCGGGGATGTTGGATGAGCTTGTAGCTAGTTTATGTTCTACACGGTAGCAGCACATTGCTGTGTATACCTAAGCTTGTTAATAAAAATAAATCGGTAATAAAGGTTTTAAATTATAGCTAGTATTATTATTATTACCAGTATTATCCTTGTTAAATCATAAATGTTAACCATGGATCATAAAGATCTCATATTGATGTGTAATGTTAGTAATGTTGACCAAACCACACACTAGAAGATGAAAAGAAGACAACAATATCATTAATATTTCTTGAGTCGTTAAATTGTGCAGTATGTCTCTTTTTTTTCACTTCTCTGGATATATATTAGAAGAAAATAGGATAAACAACCCATAAATATTTGTTTCATTATATTTTGTATTTAAATAACTGGATCAATATTTTTACAGCTGACAGGATTTGTTTTACTCACAGGTGCATTATCTGTTAAAAAAAAATGGTTTATTGTTACACACAATGGTGCTACATAGCCTTCCCGGCTTGGTGCCTTCTTTTGATAATTATTGTTACACACCCAAATTGTGTAACAGGAAGAGGTCTTGGACCCCTACTTCCCCCTCTCTTTTTTAACAGGCCATAATAGTCCATATAGTCATAATTATAGGTTTAAGTATTCAATGAGAAAAGTTTTAAAGTTTTTACCCTTATCCTTACCTAAAATCATTTGTGCAGCATATTTTTCTTTTATGTCTCACCCAGATTTAATTTCAAAATAAAACCAAACAAAATAAATTAAAAATGGGTATGTATAGCTAAGGTACACCCCCTAGCTATACTTATTACTAGGTGAACAGGGGCATTTGGTGATAGAAATGCTCCCACCAGCCCAGGTTCATCACCTTCTCTCATATTTCATGTTCACCAGTGTTTATTTACTTAATAACTACTGGTATAATATCTTGCTATTATAAAACTAATTCTAATATCATAAAAGACATATTTACTACAAGTTTCAAGCAGAGAATGCATATATAGTTAACACGAAGGACTCCGTCTTGAAACTCGCCAGCTAAAATGTTTTGTTTATAAGAAAATCGATCCTCCGTGTTGTGTAGTAGAGAAAAATTGAGTTATATCCAGTTTACGTAAAGCTACGAGTGGTCGAGGCCGTCCTTAAATCGAGGCGGTGTACTTACGAAGATTTTCCTTCTTAAATGCCTACCTGAATACCGACGTAGCCGCTACGAAGGTGCTAAGAAGAAAAACATTCGTAAGTACGTACGTAACTGCTTCGTGAATCTGGCCCCAAGGCCCTACATATTTATGTCTTTAAAGTACAAGATACTATATAGAAGATACGTCCACCAGTATCGCCAAACGTTTTGCCCAGGAAGCAAATCGTACCATGCACACCCCGACACACCGGCTACAGCCCGCCGTAACCAGCAAACTGCTCATCCTCCGCCTGCCTGTTGCTGATTGGCTGGTGTCTCGCCGCACCTGCACTCACGCAACCACCAAGAGTCGACGTCTGGGCCAGCAGCTGCCATACTTCTCAGAATATCTCTGTGCTCCTTGGAGTTGACATCTCTCGCTAGTAGACTAAGCCTTGGCTGTCGTGTACTAAGGGAGGTGGCAGCTTGAAGCCAGTATTCCAGCACCTCACTTATTTAATTTATTTTAACTTGCATTCTTGTCTTAGAGTAACTTTTCATTACCAGTAATTATTCATGTTGTTTTGTTTGTTGACCTGTTCTGAATTTTATGAGATTGTCTTTATTCATGTCTTGTTTTCTAGAGTAATTAAAATTTCATTGTTTATATACTTTGTGTTTTGTGTCTTCCCATTACCTTACCACAGACGAAAGGACAAACTTCTCTTTTTTTTGTTATGTGACGAGGCCCTGCCCCCAGCTTTTGAAACAGCCGAACACCGACGCTTTACCGTCACATTACAACACCTTTTACGGTTTTCCATAAAACACAATATTTTTTTAGAGTAATTTTTATCAAAACATTAAATGCTCCCAAAATTTCCCCAGAAGTACTTTTATATGATAATTAAATATAATAGTTTAAAAGCAGCGGAATCAAATAATTCGCTGTATTACCTTTTACTGCATACTAAGGCAGTTGCTTGTATAACTGTATATGAAGGACTTGGGATGGGATCGAACCCACAACCCTGGATTTGTTTAACATAGTGTTCAGTGTGCTTAACGCTGTGTTCAGAGTGCTTAACGTTGTGTTCAGAGTGCTTAACGCTGTGTTCAGAGTGCTTAACGCTGTGTTCAGAGTGCTTAACGTTGTGTTCAGAGTGCTTAACGTTGTGTTCAGAGTGCTTAACGTTGTGTTCAGAGTGCTTAACGTTGTGTTCAGTGTTCTTAACGTTGTGTTCAGAGTGCTTAACGCTGTGTTCAGTGTTCTTAACGTAGTGTTCAGAGTGCTTAACGTTGTGTTCAGAGTGCTTAACGCTGTGTTCAGAGTGCTTAACGTTGTGTTCAGAGTGCTTAACGTTGTGTTCAGAGTGCTTAACGTTGTGTTCAGAGTGCTTAACGTTGTGTTCAGAGTGCTTAACGTTGTGTTCAGAGTGCTTAACGTTGTGTTCAGTGTGCTTAACGTAGTGTTCAGTGTGTTTAACGTAGTGTTCAGAGTGCTTAACGCTGTGTTCAGTGTTCTTAACGTAGTGTTCAGTGTGTTTAACGTTGTGTTCAGAGTGCTTAACGTTGTGTTCAGAGTGCTTAACGTTGTGTTCAGAGTGTTTAACGTTGTGTTCAGTGTGCTTAACGTAGTGTTCAGTGTGTTTAACGTAGTGTTCAGAGTGCTTAACGTTGTGTTCAGAGAGCTTAACGTTGTGTTCAGAGTGTTTAACGTTGTGTTCAGTGTGCTTAACGTAGTGTTCAGTGTGTTTAACGTTGTGTTCAGAGTGCTTAACGTTGTGTTCAGAGTGTTTAACGTTGTGTTCAGTGTGCTTAACGTAGTGTTCAGTGTGTTTAACGTAGTGTTCAGAGTGCTTAACGCTGTGTTCAGTGTTCTTAACGTAGTGTTCAGTGTGTTTAACGTTGTGTTCAGAGTGCTTAACGTTGTGTTCAGTGTTCTTAACGTAGTGTTCAGTGTGTTTAACGTAGTGTTCAGAGTGCTTAACGTAGTGTTCAGTGTGCTTAACGTTGTGTTCAGAGTGCTTAACGTAGTGTTCAGAGTGCTTAACGTAGTGTTCAGAGTGCTTAACGTAGTGTTCAGTGTGTTTAACGCTGTGTTCAGAGTGCTTAACGTAGTGTTCAGAGTGCTTAACGTAGTGTTCAGTGTGTTTAACGCTGTGTTCAGAGTGCTTAACGTTGTGTTCAGTGTTCTTAACGTAGTGTTCAGTGTGCTTAACGTTGTGTTCAGTGTTCTTAACGTAGTGTTCAGTGTGCTTAACGTAGTGTTCAGAGTGCTTAACGCTGTGTTCAGAGTGCTTAACGTTGTGTTCAGAGTGCTTAACGCTGTGTTCAGTGTGCTTAACGTTGTGTTCAGAGTTCTTAACGTAGTGTTCAGAGTGCTTAACGTTGTGTTCAGAGTGCTTAACGTAGTGTTCAGAGTGCTTAACGTTGTGTTCAGAGTGCTTAACGTTGTGTTCAGAGTGCTTAACGTTGTGTTCAGAGTGCTTAACGTTGTGTTCAGAGTGCTTAACGTTGTGTTCAGAGTGCTTAACGTAGTGTTCAGTGTGCTTAACGTTGTGTTCAGAGTGCTTAACGTTGTGTTCAGTGTTCTTAACGTAGTGTTCAGAGTGCTTAACGTTGTGTTCAGTGTTCTTAACGTAGTGTTCAGAGTGCTTAACGTTGTGTTCAGAGTGCTTAACGTTGTGTTCAGAGTGCTTAACGTTGTGTTCAGTGTTCTTAACGTAGTGTTCAGTGTGCTTAACGTAGTGTTCAGAGTGCTTAACGTTGTGTTCAGAGTGCTTAACGTTGTGTTCAGAGTGCTTAACGTTGTGTTCAGTGTTCTTAACGTTGTGTTCAGTGTTCTTAACGTAGTGTTCAGTGTGCTTAACGTAGTGTTCAGAGTGCTTAACGTTGTGTTCAGAGTGCTTAACGTTGTGTTCAGAGTGCTTAACGCTGTGTTCAGAGTGCTTAACGTTGTGTTCAGAGTGCTTAACGCTGTGTTCAGTGTGCTTAACGTTGTGTTCAGTGTTCTTAACGTAGTGTTCAGAGTGCTTAACGCTGTGTTCAGAGTGCTTAACGCTGTGTTCAGTGTTCTTAACGTAGTGTTCAGTGTTCTTAACGTAGTGTTCAGAGTGCTTAACGTTGTGTTCAGAGTGCTTAACGTAGTGTTCAGAGTGCTTAACGTAGTGTTCAGAGTGCTTAACGTTGTGTTCAGAGTGCTTAACGTAGTGTTCAGAGTGTTTAACGTTGTGTTCAGAGTGCTTAACGTAGTGTTCAGTGTGCTTAACGTTGTGTTCAGAGTGTTTAACGTTGTGTTCAGAGTGTTTAACGTTGTGTTCAGTGTTCTTAACGTAGTGTTCAGTGTGCTTAACGTAGTGTTCAGAGTGCTTAACGTAGTGTTCAGTGTGTTTAACGCTGTGTTCAGAGTGCTTAACGTAGTGTTCAGAGTGCTTAACGTGTGTTCAGAGTGTTCGTAGTGTTCAGAGTGAGCGCTGTGTTCAGTGCTTAACGCTGTGTTCAGAGTGTTTAACGTAGTGTTCAGAGTGTTTAGCGCTGTGTTCAGAGTGCTTAACGTAGTGTTCAGTGTTTAGCGCTGTGTTCAGAGTGCTTAACGTAGTGTTCAGAGTGCTTAACGTAGTGTTCAGAGTGCTTAACGTAGTGTTCAGTGTTCTTAATGAAGTGTTCAGAGTGCTTAACGAAGTGTTCAGAGTGCTTAACGTAGTGTTCAGAGTGCTTAACGTAGTGTTCAGAGTGCTTAACGAAGTGTTCAGAGTGCTTAACGCTGTGTTCAGAGTGCTTAACGTAGTGTTCAGAGTGCTTAACGTAGTGTTCAGAGTGTTTAGCGCTGTGTTCAGAGTGCTTAACGTAGTGTTCAGAGTGTTTAACGTTGTGTTCAGAGTGTTTAACGTTGTGTTCAGAGTGCTTAACGCTGTGTTCAGAGTGCTTAACGTAGTGTTCAGAGTGCTTAACGTAGTGTTCAGAGTGCTTAACGTAGTGTTCAGAGTGCTTAACGTAGTGTTCAGAGTGCTTAACGTAGTGTTCAGAGTGCTTAACGTAGTGTTCAGAGTGCTTAACGCTGTGTTCAGAGTGCTTAACGTAGTGTTCAGAGTGTTTAACGCTGTGTTCAGAGTGTTTAACGCTGTGTTCAGAGTGCTTAACGTTGTGTTCAGAGTGCTTAACGTAGTGTTCAGAGTGCTTAACGAAGTGTTCAGAGTGCTTAACGTAGTGTTCAGAGTGCTTAACGTGTGTTCAGAGTGCTTAACGTAGTGTTCAGTTGCTTAACGTAGTGTTCAGTGTTCACATATTCAAGCAAGATAAGAGGAAATAGGATTTTTTTCGTATGAAACACATGACCAATTGGCCTTGTGTTTGAACATGAAAATATGTTCTAATACTCTATATATGATCCTATGTTCTCATGTTCTATATGATCTTATATATGTTCTCAAGTTCTATATATGATCTTATATATGTTCTCAAGTTCTATATATGATCTTATATATGTTCTCAAGTTCTATATATGATCTTATATATGTTCTCAAGTTCTATATATGATCTTATATATGTTATCAAGTTCTATATATGATCTTATATATGTTCTCAAGTTCTATATATGATCTTATATATGTTCTCAAGTTCTATATATGATCTTATATATGTTCTCAAGTTCTATATATGATCTTATATATGTTCTCAAGTTCTATATATGATCTTATATATGTTCTCAAGTTCTATATATGATCTTATGTTCTAACTACGATCATATGTTTTAATGTTCTACATATGATATCATGTTCAATAAAAGTTCTTATGTTCTATATGTGTTCGTATACCTATTTTCTTATGGTGTTCATTTCAGGAAATGGTTCTCTCTGGGGTTCACCCCCTGATATACTTCGGGGTCGTCTTCCACAGCATTCTTGTTGGGGTCGTACTTGGGACGCCCGAAGTGCTCCGCGATCTCCTGCAGGCTCTTGCCCTTAGTCTCCGGGAGGCCGGCCACGATGACCAGGAGGCCACAGAGGGCCATGGCGGCGAAGAGAAGGTAGATCCCGTCACTCCCCAGGGCGTCCTGGAGGGTAATCAGGTTATAAGAACACATTGGGTCCATACGAGGCAGATTCTATGGACCAAGAGGAACTCCTTCGTATGGACCAATAGGAGCTGCTTTGTGTGGGCCAAGAGGAACTTCCTCGTATGGACCAATAGGAGCTGCTTTGTGTGGGCCAAGAGGAACTTCCTCGTATGGACCAATAGGAGCTGCTTTGTGTGGGCCAAGAGGAACTTCCTCGTATGGACCAATAGGAGCTGCCTCGTATGGTCCTATTTATCTCGATCTTGGAGGCTTCGTCTGTAATTATTAAACAATTTACGAGCTCCGAGGCGCTACAATGATAGTAGTATCCTTGGGTTGAGGAGGATCTAGTACCGGTTATGAGGTCGTGAACTGTTGAGACATACGGACAGTGCCGCCAGGATCGAGCCACAAGCTCCATATCTCGTAGGTAAACAGATAAGTCTTTTGAAAATAATTAAATTATGTTACACATGTGCATTAACTGAAAGAGAGAGAGAGAGAGAGAGAGAGAGAGAGAGAGAGAGAGAGAGAGAGAGAGAGAGAGAGAGAGAGAGAGAGAGAGAGAGAGAGAGAGAGAGAGAGAGAGAGAGAGAGAGAGAGAGAGAGAGAGAGAGAGAGAGAGAGAGAGAGAGAGAGAGAGAGAGAGAGAGAGAGAGAGAGAGAGAGAGAGAGAGAGAGAGAGAGAGAGAGAGAGAGAGAGAGAGAGAGAGAGAGAGAGAGAGAGATCACCTACCTCCAGAGGCAAGAAGGTCAAGTTGACAACGAAGCCCAGCCCCCAGCTGAATAAGGTAACGATGCCAGTCGTCGCCTCCTTCACTCTGGGGTGCAAGAGCTCACCTGGGGGAGCAGGAGAAGCACCTTCACTCTCGGGTGCAAGAGCTCACCTGGGGGAGCAGGAGAAGCACCTTCACTCTGGGGTGCAAGAGCTCACCTGGGGGAGCAGGAGGAGCACCTTCACTCTGGGGTGCAAGAGCTCACCTGGGGGAGCAGGAGAAGCACCTTCACTCTGGGGTGCAAGAGCTCACCTGGGGGAGCAGGAGAAGCACCTTCACTCTGGGGTGCAAGAGCTCACCTGGGGGAGCAGGAGGAGCACCTTCACTCTGGGGTGCAAGAGCTCACCTGGGGGAGCAGAAGAAGCACCTTCACTCTGGGGTGCAAGAGCTCACCTGGGGGAGCAGGAGGAGCACCTTCACTCTGGGGTGCAAGAGCTCACCTGGGGGAGCAGGAGGAGCACCTTCACTCTGGGGTGCAAGAGCTCACCTGGGGGAGCAGAAGAAGCACCTTCACTCTCGGGTGCAAGAGCTCACCTGGGGGAGCAGGGGAAGCAGCCCCAGGTAGAGTCGCTCTATCTCTAGTTGACACGTGTCGTCTCACACTTGACTCGAGGGTCATCACCTCTGGTGGCCTTCGCGGGGACAAGAAGCCCACGGCATATCGAAAGCACCCAACCCCTTCCACCTCATCAATTATGTGGACATTGATGTCTTCATTACCTTCAGACGCTAATAAATATTACGTAACCTGACGATAGCGCTATATAGTGACTACTCACCTAGCAAGACCCAGGCTATGGGCCCAGGACCCAGCGCGAAGGAGGAGATGAAGACACACATGGAGACGAGAGGCAGCCAGCCCAGCCGCTCACCCGTTGTGGGAAAAACCTGCTGGGATTGATATGAGAGGAGAACTACCAGGGACTTGTACTGAACTAAATTAAAAATTACTGTCTGCAAATTAATTCAACTAAAATCTCTAGCTAGGGTCGTAAATCCTAGCTCCTCTTTTCCTAATGACAGATTGTGGGCTGTAAGGGGCAGGTGGGGTGAATGAATTAGTTGATAGGTTGATTGAAGATCCACAGTCCACCTGCCGACAGGTATCTCACATCAGCTTGTATTTTATACAAGGATAAGATTTAATAAATTCAGTTCAATGACTGAACACTGGCTCTGTTTAAATCAGAGATTTAAACATGTACATAGTCTAGCCTAGCACCATAACTATTAACAGCCAATATATTCTTATACTATAAACAACAATTTAAATTGTATAAGTATGATAAATGACCTTAAATGTAGTCTAAGTACTGTTAACTAAGTACTAGAAATTATATTCAATTAAATGAACTTATATGATAACTTAAAAATAACTAAGCAAGCAATTGTTAACTTAATTTATATATTCAAGTATATATACAGATATATTCAGTTTATATGATGAGGTTCAGTCAGACTGATTGAATCTTTTCCCACACAATGGACACTCATGAGGTTTTGTTTAACCTTGACTGAATCTTTTCTTACACAATGGACGCTCATGAAGTTTGGTGCTTAAAGATTCAACTGCTGCACTACAATATTAATAAACTTACTGAAATATGAGGCGTTGCCTCGCTCTATAACCGACAGACAGACTTATAGGATATTAAAGTCATACAAGCATACAATTGGCCAATTAATACACTACTGTAATAACATTCAATATACTTCTCTGCCTGCCGGGTGCCTGTCTGACAGTGTGCCAGACTGGATAACTCTCTTGTCGCGAGTTTAGGCACGATATTTTATATCACAGCTTTGCTGTATGATGTTCTAGTAGCGTTGCTATGTGATTGTCTTTAATTGCAGTTGCTCAAAGATGAGGGTGGAGACAGGGTCACTGTGTGCTCCACTATACACTCTTATTTGACATAAATGTTCAAGGAATTTTCCTTGTAGATATTGCCCAGGTACTCCTCCAGTTCTAGAGAGTAATCACTGGTGATAAAGATACTTCGATAAGGTGTCCTGAGCTAAGTAATGTTCGCTAAGGCTCCGTCACTGTTGTTCACTCCTTTGTAAACAAACGCGTTCTGGCGCGGGGTGTGGTGGGCGCTTCTTGTTCCCAGATGCCCCTCTCTCTCCCTTGAGAGGGGTAGCTTTCAATGAATATTGATTGATTATTTTTACTGTCTAGACATATGATTGAGATAAGATGTGATTATAATATAATTAGATATAGGATATAAAGATTATAAGTAGTACTTGATAGTACTACTGATTCTTATTAAGCATTCGATTTATAATCCCTACCGGAAATCGAATCATGTTCCAAAAGTTTTTTAATTAAGAAATTCTTCTAAAAACTTCTGGATTCTTGAGAGATCATGCACAAAGTCACGTAGGCACCTATAGGGCCCTATGGTGTACGTGATCCTAGTGGCATTGTCATCTAGGATCAAGATGTATAATGAATCTATAGTGATTCTATAATGATTCTGATATGATTTAGATATGATATAGATATGATTTAGATATGATATAGATATGATTTAGATATGATAAACATGGGGTTCTTGATTTATGGAGCATATTACCGGGTATTAGATGTGGGATCGCAGGAGTGTTTCAAGCGTAGGATAGACATATATGGATGAGTTTGGGTGGATATAAATAGAAAAGGCCTCGTATGGACCAATAGGAGCTGTCTGGTATGGACCAATAGGAGCTGTTTGGTATGGACCAATAGGAGCTGCCTGGTATGGACCAATAGAAGCAGCCTCAAATGGACCAATAGAAGCTGCCTCGTATGGACCAATAGGAGCTGCCTGGTATGGACCAATAGGAGCTGCCTCGTATGGACCAATAGAAGCTGCCTCGTATGGACCAATTGGAGCTGCCTGGTATGGACCAAGAGGAGCTGCCTCGTATGGACCAATTGGAGCTGCCTCGTATGGACCAAGAGGAGCTGCCTCGTATGGACCAAATGGAGCTGCCTCGTATGGACCAAGAGGAGCTGCCTCGTATGGACCAAATGGAGCTGCCTCGTATGGACCAATAGGAGCTGCCTCGTATGGACCAATTGGAGCTGCCTGGTATGGACCAAGAGGAGCTGCCTCGTATGGACCAAATGGAGCTGCCTCGTATGGACCAATAGGAGCTGCCTCGTATGGACCAATAGGAAGTTGTCGAAAGTGTTAGGATCTATCATATACTGACCTTTTCCAGGACGCAGTTCACAACAGTTGCCTAACTTTCAGGTACCTATGTCCTGATCAGTGAATGGGTGCATCAGGTGAAAGGGGACGTTGCTTAAACGTTTTCCTTAACAATTTCACGTATTTTTTCACGTTATTTCACAGTAACGTGAGAAATATCACGTTATTGTTATTTCTTGTGTGAATCTGATGGAGCATTGGTGGAGAACTGCATAACCTGTGCCAGGCAATGCGGTTCTCCAGGTGATGCAGTTTGCTACTAAGCCACTAAGAGAATATGGAGATAACAGTGAAGGTGCATAACAGGAGGACTGTTAGACCAGAGTGCTCAGGCCCCGTAGCAACCCGCTGGAGAAGGCGGGAGGAGACACTAACCCAGTGAGAGAGACGTAGCAACCCGCTGGAGAAGGCGGGAGGAGACACTAACCCAGTGAGAGAGACGTAGCAACCCCCTGGAGAAGGCGGGAGGCGACACTAACCCAGTGAGAGAGACGTAGCAACCCCCTGGAGAAGGCGGGAGGAGACACTAACCCAGTGAGAGAGACGTAGCAACCCCCTGGAGAAGGCGGGAGGAGACACTAACCCAGTGAGAGAGACATGAAGCTGAGGGAGAGGACCAGTAGGAGCCTCCTGCCGGCCCGGTCCATCAGCACGGCGCTCAGGCCCGTCGCCACCACCTGCATCACCCCCACGATCACCACGTTGATGTTGTCGTCCAGACGCACGCCGGACGCCTGCTCACACGACAGTTGATTCAATTGAAATTGAAATAAGTTTATTGAGGTAAAATACACACAAAGGGATGAGGTAGCTCAAGCTATTCTCACCCCGTTCAGTACATCGTGTTAATACATACATAGACACACATCACAAACAATAAACATATTACCGAACATTCTGAGAGATAAACATATACATTTCCTCCTTTACACAAGTTGTAAAGGAGTTGATGTAGTAGCTCTTTTGCTTAATGCACAATGCAGTTGAATTCAAATGCATTTGCAATGCAGTTACTTACAAATGTCTTACCAAATGCAGTTTAATAAAACTTGTAAAAAATGCAGTTAAATTCAAATGCATTATTACAATTCAGTTAAGTACAGATGTCATACGAAATGCAGTTGAATATTTTTATCAATGCAGTTGAAGTCAAGTGCATCATTATGAATGTCAATCAAACATATACATAAGCAATGCAGTTGAATGGAAATTAATTACCAATGCAGTTGATTACAAATACCTTACAAGCTGTATCAGTAACAAACATGTTGATTAACAGTTTCAATATAAACTTACTGTAATTTCATATACAACTAATGTATTTACATACATTATTAGTGTATTTCATGCATTATTAACATATTTTCACACATTATTAATGCATTTTCATACAATATTATTGTATTTAACACATTCCCAACATTATTAGAGTATGTATTGCATTTATGTGTTTTATTAATGCATTTAATGAATATTTCTCTGAGCAGCTAATCGTTTGCACAGTCGTTTTCATACCCGTTTGCACAGTCGTTTGCATACCCGTTTGCACAGTCGTTTGCATACCCGTTTGCACAGTCGTTTGCATACCCGTTTGCACAGCCGTTTGCATACCCGTTTGCACAGCCGTTTGCATACCCGTTTGCACAGCCGTTTGCATACCCGTTTGCACAGTCGTTTGCACAGCCGTTTGCACAGTCGTTTGCACAGTCGTTTGCACAGCCGTTTGCACAGCCATTTGCACAGCATTCACAGGCCTCTGGGGCGTAAAACAAGGACATCTGTCATGTACAATAATTACAATGGAGCAGTTTACCTGGAAGATAATGGCCATGTTGAGGAGAATGGCGCCTGCGCCGGACAGCTGGACCGTGGCGAAGACTGTCAGGCAGAGGAGGAAGGGCCTTAAGATGTAAGGCTTGAGGACCTCCTTGAAGGTTACTCGCGTATGCATGCCCTCTTCCAGCGACTGCTTCGTCATCTGGAGTTCTTCCTCAATGTCGTATCTCGCACCTGGGGTGGGGGGGGGGGGGGGTAGTTAGTGCACCTGTGGTGATGTTGGGGGGGGGGGGAGTACACCTGGGGTGGTGTTGAGGTAGTTAGTGCACCTGGGGGGGGAAGGGGGGTAGTTAGTGCACCTGGGGTGGGGAGGGGGGTAGTTAGTGCACCTGGGGTGGGGGGGGGGTTAGTGCACCTGGGGTGGTGTTGAGGTAGTTAGTGCACCTGGGGTGGGGAGGGGGGCAGTTAGTGTACCTGGGGTGGGGGGGGGGGGGGGTAGTTAGTGCACCTGTGGTGATGTTGGGGGGGAGGGGGAGTACACCTGGGGTGGTGTTGGGGTAGTTAGTACACCTGCGGTAATTTAACTTTATAATATTACCTATAACATCACTATAGGTTTACATTCCAGTTTTCTGAGCACCATTTCCTTGGACGCAACCCCACAACAGTTGCCTAACTCCCAGGTACCTATATACTGCTAGGTGAACAGAGGCATCAGATGCATGCTAATGTGCCGATGCGTCTCATCCTACCGGGGAATCGAACCCTGGAATCATAGTATGAGCTGGCCGCGATAATCCCTCCACTACAGGCAAACGAATATAGTATTTCAGAATTAATACCAATATTTAAATAAGATGAAATGAGCATCACTCACCTCGGAAGTGCTGTAGGGATGCTGCGGCTTCTCTCATCTTCCCTTTAGCGAGGAGGAAAGTCGGAGATTCGCGTGTGAAATAGACCGTGGCTATGTACAAGAGGTTAGGGGCGCCACAGATGACGGCTAGCCACCGCCAGCTGCTGACGTAGATGCCACCAAAGTAGGCGAGCAGCATCCCTAGAGTTATCATCAGCTGGTGCCCGCTGGCTGATGGTTAAGTTGTATTATTACATCGTTGTATTGTTGTATTTTATTCTGTAGTTGAAGCACAATAACCTCATGTCACTATGAGAGAATAATGAGCGGGGGGGGGGAGGGAGGGGTTGTAGTAGAATAGAACAGTGGTGGAATATTGGTGTATCGGAGTACAGGGAACGCGAGTTCAATCCCACCACATAGCCCAGTATGTCCCCGCCAAACACACACCGAAACTACGCCGTTGATACAACGTTCGAACAAGTTTTAACACCTCCTAACCAGTTATATCAACCAATATAGCAAGTTGTAACAACGTTCTAATACGTCATAAACAGGCTAAGCCAAGATGTAACAACTTTATTACAAGTTGTAACAAGCGGAAAATAGAGACAGTTTAGGTTTGTGTTTCCAGCGTCATCACATAATCTGTACGTCACCAGTAATCACATATTGGCTACACAAGGTCAGCAGCAACAAGGTATACCATCTAGGGATGGACAAATGCTCACCAAGGGCGCCTCTGATGTCTGGGGAAGCAACTTCGCCCACGTAGGTGGGGGCGGCGGTGCAGGTGGCACCCATGCTGGCACCAATCAACACCCGCCCGGCTGCCAACATGGCGAAGTTCTGCCCAAAAGCTGATCAAACAATATCAGAATAGATCAGTAGTCGTCGCCTGTGTCCATTCCAGTTATATTTCCATTGGAACTGGTCAGTCCTATATACAATACAACCCGTTCTCGCACTTTCGTATAGTCAATATTGACTTATTAAATACGTGCATATGTGACATACTAGTTTACCTTGAAAAGCTTCATAGAAAACACCGACCTTACCTAACCTTCTTAGTATGTTAAGATAAGCATCTTATTGCTTCGTAATTACAATTATTACTTAATCTATTATAGGTATTGGTTAAGTAATAATTGTAATTATGAAGCAATAAGATGCTTAACTTAACATACTAAGAAGGCTAGGTAAGGTCGGTGTTTTCTATGAAGCTTTTCAAGGTAAACTAGTATGTTTAGTATGTCTCATATGCATGTATTTAATAAGTCTATATTGACTGTAAGAAAGTGCGAGAACGGGTTGTACAATAAGGAATTAAATTTTCATTAGAATTCTGAAAGTTTTGCATACAATAATGATTTTTTCCCCAGGACCTGGGATGAATCAAGCATTTACACAACCAGTTACGAAACCTTTGCATCTATCTTCAACCATGGCGGATTTGTTTACATTTATTGAACAGTTTATGAGCTCCGCAGCGCCACGAGGTTGTTTACAACAGTAATAGCCTTAGGTCGTGAAGTATCCAATCTCCTAAACTGTTGAATACATGTAAACAAAACCTCTATGATTGTTGAAAGATGCACAGGTTTCGTAAGAGGTTGCGTATAAGTACCTATGAGTGCCCAGCCAGCCAGACTGAGTGGCCCCGTGAGAAGCATGGTAGGCCTCCTGCCCAGCTGGTTGGTACACAGGCCGCCTCCGAGGCTGCCAGCCACGCCTCCAAGGTTCAGCGAGGATATGAACCAGTCGTACTGCTGTTGGGTCAGGTGCAGCGTCTCCCCCGTAGTGTTGGTCATCAAGAGCGGCCCCGCCGGGGACGAGTACCCCAGTCCGGTCCCCATCACCAGTCCTCCGAGACAAGCTGTGTGACACGAGAAATTGAAATTGAAATTGAAATAAGTTTATTGAGGTAAAATACACACAAAGGGATGAGGTAGCTCAAGCTATTCTCACCCCGTTCAGTACATCGTGTTAGTACATACATAGACACACATCACAGACAATAAACCTGTTACCAAACATTCTGAGAAATGTGACACGAGGGGTGTACAGGGTAATGAAGGGAGTTTAGTAACCATAGATCACGGCTCGAACCTCTGCCTGTGCATTTGCCAGACAAGTTTCGAATCACGAAACCACTACGCCACGTAGGTTACGGACAATGGGTTTCAACTGTTGCAGGCCAATTAGCTGTTTTCATATCGGGTCTCTCCATATGTATCTAATGGTACGGAGAACACTTGTATATAAAAATTATATGTAAGATTTGAAAATATATAACTGCGGGTTCACTGCATGTACCCACAATTCTTGGAAATAACTATGACTAAATTGTTGCGAGTGCCGAAGTGTTGGGAAAGGTGAGGCGGGTGACAGTTGCCCGACGCGATGGGTATCTTCCCACGGGGTCAAATGAGGCCCATCAAAGAGCTGAATGCTCGCAGAATGGGACAAACTCATAAATAAAGATGGCCACTAATGTGTATGTGCGCAGCCTCCTACGGTCACTGGAGCCTGTGATCACTCCACTGCTTGTTTTGCAATGTACTGACGATTCAAGATTGTTTTGTGGACTATTGAGTGATGTAATTTTATTCCTCGTGTCTGTCAGTGATGTGTGAGATGCATCACGGGAATGTTAATAGTGTGCCAGTGTTGCATATATTGCATAACGCAATCACCAGAATTACACACACATATATATATATATATATATATATATATATATATATATATATATATATATATATATATATATATATATATATATATATGTCGTACCTAGTAGCCAGAATGCACTTCTCGGCCTACTATGCATGGCCCGATTTGCCTAATAAGCCAAGTTTTTCTGAATTAATATATTTTCTCTAATTTTTTTCTTACGAAATGATAAAGCTACCAATTTCATTATGTATGAGGTCAATTTACTTTTATTGGAGTTAAAATTAACGTAGATATATGACCGAACCTAACCAACCCTACCTAACCTAACCTAACCTATCTTTATAGGTTAGGTTAGGTAGCCGAAAAAGTTAGGTTAGGTTAGGTTAGGTAGGTTAGGTAGTCGAAAAACAAATAATTCATAAAAACTTGGCTTATTAGGCAAATTGGGCCTTGCATAGTAGGCTGAGAAGTGCGTTCTGGCTATTAGGTACGACATATATATATATATATATATATATATATATATATATATATATATATATATATATATATATATATATATATATATATTCACATACTACATAAGTGTATATCAGAGGCAGAAATATTGTTTTTCATAATAAAGGGACCTGTAAGGAGGGTATTAGAGTAAATAACAGGAAGCATCTGAGTGGTTTCACAACCAGGCTTTCAAGTCCTGTTAATTACCTCCTGTATTACATGTTCATCCATTATATATACGCTTGGGTATATATATTTGTATAGTACACTATAATGTCTTCGCCTTGGGCCCTGTTATTCTCCTTGTAGGGGATAACAAGCGTCTTCCTAACGTTATCGTCGAAATTGGTATTATTGGAACGATTAATTACAATTATTTGGCAGAGTTGACGGTGCAAGAGCTGCCAAGCAGGGCAGGTACTCAGGCAAGAGCTGCCAAGCAGGGCAGGCACTCAGGCAAGAGCTGCCAAACAGGGCAGGCACTCAGGCAAGAGCTGCCAAGCAGGGCAGGTACTCAGGCAAGAGCTGCCAAGCAGGGCAGGTACTCAGGCAAGAGCTGCCAAGCAGGGCAGGCACTCAGGCAAGAGCTGCCAAGCAGGGCAGGTACTCAGGCAAGAGCTGCCAAGCAGGGCAGGCACTCAGGCAAGAGCTGCGAAGCAGGGCAGGCACTCAGGCAAGAGCTGCGAAGCAGGGCAGGCACTCAGGCAAGAGCTGCCAAGCAGGGCAGGTACTCAGGCAAGAGCTGCCAAGCAGGGCAGGCACTCAGGCAAGAGCTGCCAAGCAGGGCAGGCACTCAGGCAAGAGCTGCCAAGCAGGGCAGGCACTCAGGCAAGATCTGCCAAGCAGGGCAGGTACTCAGGCAAGAGCTGCCAAGCAGGGCAGGCACTCAGGCAAGAGCTGCCAAGCAGGGCAGGTACTCAGGCAAGAGCTGCCAAGCAGGGCAGGCACTCAGGCAAGAGCTGCCAAGCAGGGCAGGTACTCAGTCAAGAGCTGCCAAGCAGGGCAGGCACTCAGGCAAGAGCTGCCAAGCAGGGCAGGTACTCAGTCAAGAGCTGCCAAGCAGGGCAGGTACTCAGTCAAGAGCTGCCAAGCAGGGCAGGTACTCAGGCAAGAGCTGCCAAGCAGGGCAGGTACTCAGTCAAGAGCTGCCAAGCAGGGCAGGTACTCAGGCAAGAGCTGCCAAGCAGGGCAGGCACTCAGGCCTACACATACACTTAAGACACTCTCCTTATACCTGAGTGCATTCACTCCTTCCGCTCATACATTTACCTGCTTCATTACATTTACGATATACGTCTGTAAACCGAGTGAATATATTATATATAGATACTATCTATACATATATGTCTATAAATTATACGAGTAAATCCATTGAGACTCACCTGCGAGTGTGGCCAGGTACTGGGTGGTGTGGGAGGGGGTGGAGTCTCCCAGCAGGTGTAGTGCTGAGTGGCTGGGCTCAGCCATCCCTCCTCTCTCTCCTGGGGTCAAGCAAACATCAGTTATATACAGTTATATGAACGAGAATCTCAGAATTGTAAGCATATTTAAGAATTTATGAAACATTGCTCCTAATGGTGTATCAGTGATGCCGTACCCATGATGATACTCTTCAAGACACTGGTGCTCTCTAGGGTGGAGTCCTGATGCACACTAACAGCCCCATTCAGAGTCTGATAAACTACTGGCCTGGAGAGCGTGCAGAGATCCTTAATTGCTAGTATCCACTCAAGGAAACATCTTAACTATTGGGACAGACTAAAATGTCTAAATCTGTATTCTCTTGAGCGCAGGCGGGATATATATATATATATATATATATATATATATATATATATATATATATATATATATATATATATATAATACTTAATACGTGGAGAATAGTAGAGGGGCTGGTCCCAAACCTGCACACAGAAATAACACCACATGAGACCAGAAGGCATGGCAGGATGTGCAGAATACCCCCATTGATGAGCAGAGGTGCAACAGGTACTCTCAGAGAGAACTATCAACATCAGAGGCCCGAGACTGTTCAACACGCTTCCTCTACACATAAGGGACATAACTGGCCGACCCCTCACAGTGTTCATGACAGAACTATCAACATCAGAGGCCCCGAGACTGTTCAACACGCTTCCACTACACATAAGGGACATAACTGGCCGATCCCTCACAGTGTTCATGACAGAACTATCAACATCAGAGGCCCCGAGACTGTGCAACACGCTGCCAGTACACATAAGGGACATAACTGGCCGACCCCTCACAGTGTTCAAGAGAGAACTATCAACATCAGAGGCCCGAGACTGTTCAACACGCTTCCACTACACATAAGGGACATAACTGGCCGACCCCTCACAGTGTTCAAGAGAGAACTATCAACATCAGAGGCCCGAGACTGTTCAACACGCTTCCACTACACATAAGGGACATAACTGGCCGACCCCTCACAGTGTTCATGAGGAACTATCAACATCAGAGGCCCCGAGACTGTTCAACACGCTTCCACTACACATAAGGGACATAACTGGCCGACCCCTCACAGTGTTCAAGAGAGAACTATCAACATCAGAGGCCCGAGACTGTTCAACACGCTTCCACTACACATAAGGGACATAACTGGCCGACCCCTCACAGTGTTCAAGAGAGAACTATCAACATCAGAGGCCCGAGACTGTTCAACACGCTTCCACTGCACATAAGGGACATAACTGGCCGACCCCTCACAGTGTTCATGACAGAACTATCAACATCAGAGGCCCCGAGACTGTTCAACACGCTTCCACTACACATAAGGGACATAACTGGCCGACCCCTCACAGTGTTCAAGAGAGAACTATCAACATCAGAGGCCCGAGACTGTTCAACACGCTTCCACTACACATAAGGGACATAACTGGCCGACCCCTCACAGTGTTCATGACAGAACTATCAACATCAGAGGCCCCGAGACTGTTCAACACGCTTCCACTACACATAAGGGACATAACTGGCCGACCCCTCACAGTGTTCAAGAGAGAACTATCAACATCAGAGGCCCGAGACTGTTCAACACGCTTCCACTACACATAAGGGGCATAACTGGCCGACCCCTCACAGTGTTCAAGAGAGAACTATCAACATCAGAGGCCCGAGACTGTTCAACACGCTTCCACTACACATAAGGGACATAACTGGCTGACCCCTCACAGTGTTCAAGAAAGAACTTGATAAATACCTCCAAAGGATACCTGATCAACCAGGCTGTTATTCGTATGTCAGGCTGCGAGCAGCCCCGTCCAACAGCCTGGTTGACCAGTCCACCAACCAAGAGGCCTGGTCAGAGACAGGGCCGTGAGGTGTTGATCCCCGAAAACAACGCAAGATACGGTATGGCGCTCAGTGATCACTTCTCTAGTGCAGAGATAGGAAGAGAACTAGCAGAGATAGAGGTAAAAATTCCCGTTTTTTGTTGTTCCTCGCTGGACGATATCAGCAGTGACGCCGCGGGCAGCAAAAATTACAATGATTCTATAGTAATATTTTAATATAAATTTTTACTCCTGCGTATGAATGTATGTGTGCGTATATGCGTGTGTACATGTATGTATGTATGTATGTATGTATGTATGTATGTATGTATGTATGTATGTATGTATGTATGTATGTATGTATGTATGTATGTATGTATGTATGTATGTATGTATGTATGTATGTATGTATGTATGTATGTATGTATGTATGTATGTATGTATGTATGTATGTATGTATGTATGTATGTATGTATGTATGTATGTATGTATGTATGTATGTATGTATGTATGTATGTATGCATGTATGTATGTATGTATGTATGTATGTATGTATGTATGTATGTATGTATGTATGTATGTATGTATGTATGTATGTATGTATGTATGTATGTATGTATGTATGTATGTATGTATGTATGTATGTATGTATGTATGTATGTATGTATGTATGTATGCATGTATGCATGTATGTATGTATGTATGTATTATGGGCGTGTAGAACACATGTAATATGAGTCACGGAGTCATGAACAGTGTTGCAACCTGCAGGTTATATAATTTGTTGCACGATAACAATATTTTAAGAGATAATTAGTAAACACTTGAATGGTCTCGTGTTTCCTAGTTATAAACTGTGAATTCTCAAGGTTGTCAAGGGGCTGTTTGACAACCTTGAGAATTGTCAAGGGACTGTTGCTGTTGCTGCTGCTGCTGCTGTTACTGCTGGGGGGGGGGATATAGTTTAATGTTCTTCATGTACAAATTGACAGTTTTCTTGCACTTATTGTATATTATTAACTCCAACTTGTGGTTTGTTCTAATACGTCGCAAGGTCCATATGTCTGTCAACAATGGCTCTCAGGTCTCTTCCCTCCGTGTGGTGAGTGGTGGACAGGAAGCTCATGTAGAATATTTTAATACGAGGGACACATACTGTATTGGTGGCCGGTTATAAATGCTGGCGGTCCGGTAAAAATGTATCCAGTTTTACTCTGTCTTTGAGAATGTTGACTTGATCAACGAAACGCATCGCTTTGCGTCAGGTCAGACTATATCTGTAAGGTGATCTTTGGAGAGTTTATTATTTAACTTTATTATCACATGAAGTAAAACATAAGAAATAAAGAGGAGATTCTTGCTAGAATTACTAATCTCACCCTTTCTCTCATTCAATAAAACACACTGACACACACACACACACACACCCACACACACACACACACACACACACACACACACACACACACACACACACACACACACACACACACACACACACACACACACACACACACACACACACACACACACACACACACACACACACACACACACACACACACACACACCACACACACACACACACACACACACACACACACACACACACACACACACACACACACACACACACACACACACACACACACACACACACACACACACACACACACACACACACACACACACACACACACACACACACACACACACACACACACACACACACACACACACACACACACACACACACACACACACACACACACACACACACACACACACACACACACACACACACACACACACACACACACACACACACACACACACACACACACACACACACACACACACACACACACACACACACACACACACACACACACACACACACACACACACACACACACACACACACACACACACACACACACACACACACACACACACACACACACACACACACACACACACACACACACACACACACACACACACACACACACACACACACACACACACACACACACACACACACACACACACACACACACACACACACACACACACACACACACACACACAAATGTAATGTAATGAAGATAGGTGTAGGGAGCAGGAGGCCAGATACAAGGTATCATCTGGGAGAGGAAATTCTTCAGGAGTCAGAGAAGGAAAAAGACTTGGGGGTTGATATCACGCCAGACCTGTCTCCTGCAGCACATATCAAGCGGATAACATCAGCGGCATATGCCAGGCTGGCCAACATACGAACGGCATTCAGAAACTTGTGTAAAGAATCATTCAGAACTTTGTATACCACATATGTCAGGCCAATCCTGGAGTATGCAGCCCCAGCATGGAGTCCATATCTAGTCAAGGATAAGACTAAACTGGAAAAGGTTCAAAGGTTTGCCACCAGACTAGTACCCGAGCTGAGAGGTATGAGCTACGAGGAGAGACTACGGGAATTAAACCTCACTTCGCTGGAAGACAGAAGAGTTAGGGGGGACATGATCACCACATTCAAGATTCTGAAGGGGATTGATAGGGTAGATAAAGACAGTCTATTTAACACCAGGGGAACACGCACAAGGGGACACAGGTGGAAACTGAGTGCCCAAATGAGCCACAGAGATATTAGAAAGAACTTTTTTAGTGTCAGAGTGGTTGACAAATGGAATGCATTAGGGGGTGATGTGGTGGAGGCTGACTCCATACACAGTTTCAAGTGTAGATATGACAGAGCCCGATAGGCTCAGGAATCTGTACACCTGTTGATTGACGGTTGAGAGGCGGGACCAAAGAGCCAGAGCTCAACCCCCGCAAACACAACTAGGTGAGTACAACTAGGTGAGTACACACACAAACACACAGAGGCGGGTGGAAAGAGCAGAGCTCAACCCCCGGAACCACAACTAGGTAAATACAATTAGGTAAACAAATCCACAAGGGCCATGACGAGGATTCTAACCTACGTCCGAGATCATCCTAGGTGCTGCCTTAATCGACTGAGCTACGACATGGTCAAAAGAGTTTAAACCAGAAGTTGTATCTAACTTACTCAAGACATTGAGAATTTGGAACATGAAATACCTCTAGGGGCCAGCGACCACTGTGTCCTAGTCTTTGACTACATGATGGATCTCAAACTTGTGACTATGGGACAAGAGATCTGGGAAAGGAAAGTTGACTACAGGAAAGGGGACTATAAGAGGATAAGGGACTATCTGGGTGAAGTGCAGTGGGAGGAAGAAATTAGAGGAAAAACAGTCCAAGATATGATGGACCTGGTCATACAGAAATGCCAGGAGGCCGAAGAGAGATTTATACCAACAGTAAAGGGAAAAAATAAGAAGGAATATAATAACCCATGGTTTAATAGACAGTGTCAGGAAGCAAAAATGGCCAGCAGGCGGGAGTGGAGGAAGTACAGAAGACAAAGGACAGAGGACAACAGGATCAGATACAACAGAGCTAGGAACGATTACATTAACATAAGACGAACATCGGAAAGGGACTATGAGAACGATATTGCAATCAAAGCGAAAAAACAACCTAAGTTACTACACAGTCATATAAGAAGAAAAATGTCGGTGAACGACCAAGTGACATGACTAAGGAAAACAGCAAGCAAGAAGAAGTTCCAGAAATAAGAGAAGGAATAGTTAACCAGGCACCATTAGAGGAATTTGAGATTACCAGTGGGGATGTAAGGAAGCTTTTGCTACAGTTGGATGTGACAAAGGCTATAGGCCCGGATGGAATATCGTCATGGATACTATAAGAAGGAGCAGAAGCACTGTGCCTGCCACTCTCCATGGTGTATATCAAATCACTGGTAACACGTGAACTGCCAAAAATTTGGAAGGCGGTAAACGTAGTCCCAATATAGAAGAAGGGTGATAGACAGGAGGCACTGAACTACAGGCCAGTGTCCCTAACCTGCATACCATACAAGCTAATGGAGAAAATTGTGCGAAAAAAGCTAGTGGAACATCTGGAGCGAAGGAACTTTCTGTCACAACACCAACATGGTTTCAGGGATGGCAAGTCATGCCTCACAGGATTAATTGAATTCTATGACCAGGCAACAAGAATCAGACAAGAAAGAGAGGGGTGGGCAGACTGCATATTTTTGAATTGCCAGAAAGCCTTTGACACAGTGCCACACAAGACACTAGTGCACAAGCTGGAGATGCAGGCAGGAGTGAAAGGGAAGGTACTCCATTAGATAAGGGAGTACCTAAGCAACAGAAGGCAGCGAGTCACTGTGAGGGGTGAGGTCTCAGATTGGCGAGACGTCACAAGTGGGGTCCCGCAGGAGTCAGTCCTTGGACCTATACTGTTTCTGATATATGTAAATCATCTTCCAGATGGTATAGAATCATTCCTCTCATTGTTTGCTGATGATGCAAAAATTATGAGGCGGATTAAGATGGGGAAAGACAGTATGAGACTACAAGATGACCTAGACAGACTGAATGAATGGTCCAACAAATGGCTACTAAAGTTCAACCCGAGTAAATGTAAGGTAATGAAACTAGGCAGTGGAAACAGGAGGCCAGACACAGGACACAGAATGGGAGATGAAGTCCTTAATGAAACAGACAGAGAGAAGGATCTAGGAGTTGATATCACACCAAACCTGTCTCCTGAAGCCCACATCAAAAGAATAACATCTGCGGCATATGCGAGGCTGGCTAACATCAGAAGAGCCTTCAGGAGCCTGTGTTAGAAATCATTCGGAATCTTGTATACCACATATGTAAGACCAATCCTGGAGTATGCGGCCCCAGCATGGAGCCCGTACCTTGTGAAGCACAAGGCGAAGCTTGAAAAAGTTCTGAGGTATGCCACTAGGCTAGTCCCAGAACTAAGAGGCATGAGTTACGAGGAAAGGCTGCGGGAAATTGCACCTCACGACACTAGAAGACAGAAGAGTAAGGGGAGACATGATCACTTCCTACAAAATTCTCAGAGGAATTGACAGAGATGATAGAGATAAACTGTTTAACACGGGTGGTACACGAACAAGGGGACACAGGTGAAAACTATGTACCCAAATGAGCCACAGGGACGTTAGAAAGAACTTTTTCAGTGTCAGAGTAGTTAACAGATGGAATGCATTAGGCAGTAATGTGGTGGAGGCTGACTCCATACACAGTTTCATGTGTAGATATGATAGAGCCCATTAGGCTCCGAAACCTCTACATCAGTTGATTGACAGTTGAGAGGCGGGACCAAAGAGCTAAAGCTCAACCCCCGCAAGCACATCTAGGTGAGCGCACACACAATAATATCTAATATCACACTTGGGTTCTGAGTTAATAAACTTAATTAATTTTAGACCTTTCCACAGTAGAGGAGTTGAATTGTAGTGAATGATTATGGCCCTCCTTGTAGAAACTGTTTGGCACTGTAGCTTAGTCACTACACCAACTGCCCTCCCTGTAGAAACTGTTTGGCACTGTAGCTTAGTCACTACACCAACTGCCCTCCCTGTAGAAGCTGTTTGGCACTGTAGCTTAGTCACTACACCAACTGCCCTCCCTGTAGAAGCTGTTTGGCACTGTAGCTTAGTCACTACACCAACTGCCCTCCCTGTAGAAACTGTTTGGCACTGTAGCTTAGTCACTACACCAACTGCCCTCCCTGTAGAAGCTGTTTGGCACTGTAGCTTAGTCACTACACCAACTGCCCTCCCTGTAGAAACTGTTTGGCACTGTAGCTTAGTCACTACACCAACTGCCCTCCCTGTAGAAACTGTTTGGCACTGTAGCTTAGTCACTACACCAACTGCCCTCCCTGTAGAAACTGTTTGGCACTGTAGCTTAGTCACTACACCAACTGCCCTCCCTGTAGAAACTGTTTGGCACTGTAGCTTAGTCACTACACCAACTGCCCTCCCTGTAGAAACTGTTTGGCACTGTAGCTTAGTCACTACACCAACTGCCCTCCCTGTAGAAACTGTTTGGCACTGTAGCTTAGTCACTACACCAACTGCCCTCCCTGTAGAAACTGTTTGGCACTGTAGCTTAGTCACTACACCAACTGCCCTCCCTGTAGAAACTGTTTGGCACTGTAGCTTAGTCACTACACCAACTGCCCTCCCTGTAGAAACTGTTTGGCACTGTAGCTTAGTCACTACACCAACTGCCCTCCCTGTAGAAGCTGTTTGGCACTGTAGCTTAGTCACTACACCAACTGCCCTCCCTGTAGAAGCTGTTTGGCACTGTAGCTTAGTCACTACACCAACTGCCCTCCCTGTAGAAACTGTTTGGCACTGTAGCTTAGTCACTACACCAACTGCCCTCCTTGTAGAAACTGTTTGGCACTGTAGCTTAGTCACTACACCAACTGCCCTCCTTGTAGAAACTGTTTGGCACTGTAGCTTAGTCACTACACCAACTGCCCTCCCTGTAGAAGCTGTTTGGCACTGTAGCTTAGTCACTACACCAACTGGCCTCCCTGTAGAAACCGTTTGGCACTGTAGCTTAGTCACTACACCAACTGCCCTCCCTGTAGAAGCTGTTTGGCACTGTAGCTTAGTCACTACACCAACTGGCCTCCCTGTAGAAACTGTTTGGCACTGTAGCTTAGTCACTACACCAACTGCCCTCCTTGTAGAAACTGTTTGGCACTGTAGCTTAGTCACTACACCAACTGCCCTCCCTGTAGAAACTGTTTGGCACTGTAGCTTAGTCACTACACCAACTGCCCTCCCTGTAGAAACTGTTTGGCACTGTAGCTTAGTCACTACACCAACTGCCCTCCCTGTAGAAGCTGTTTGGCACTGTAGCTTAGTCACTACACCAACTGCCCTCCCTGTAGAAGCTGTTTGGCACTGTAGCTTAGTCACTACACCAACTGCCCTCCTTGTAGAAACTGTTTGGCACTGTAGCTTAGTCACTACACCAACTGCCCTCCCTGTAGAAGCTGTTTGGCACTGTAGCTTAGTCACTACACCAACTGCCCTCCCTGTAGAAACTGTTTGGCACTGTAGCTTAGTCACTACACCAACTGCCCTCCCTGTAGAAACTGTTTGGCACTGTAGCTTAGTCACTACCCCAACTGCCCTCCTTGTAGAAACTGTTTGGCACTGTAGCTTAGTCACTACACCAACTGCCCTCCCTGTAGAAACTGTTTGGCACTGTAGCTTAGTCACTACACCAACTGCCCTCCCTGTAGAAACTGTAGCTTAGTCACTACACCAACTGCCCTCCTTGTAGAAACTGTTTGGCACTGTAGCTTAGTCACTACACCAACTGCCCTCCCTGTAGAAGCTGTTTGGCACTGTAGCTTAGTCACTACACCAACTGCCCTCCCTGTAGAAACTGTTTGGCACTGTAGCTTAGTCACTACACCAACTGCCCTCCCTGTAGAAACTGTTTGGCACTGTAGCTTAGTCACTACCCCAACTGCCCTCCTTGTAGAAACTGTTTGGCACTGTAGCTTAGTCACTACACCAACTGCCCTCCCTGTAGAAACTGTTTGGCACTGTAGCTTAGTCACTACACCAACTGCCCTCCCTGTAGAAACTGTTTGGCACTGTAGCTTAGTCACTACACCAACTGCCCTCCTTGTAGAAACTGTTTGGCACTGTAGCTTAGTCACTACACCAACTGCCCTCCCTGTAGAAGCTGTTTGGCACTCTAGCTTACGAAGAGCACTATTCTGGACGTGACTGTTGATCACACTATCTGTTGTTGCCAGCGTGACGGGAGGTGGATGTCACTGTGATTGATAATACCCGCCTATCTCAGAGATAAACAGTGACCACCAACTGTACTATGAATAGATCTTCCTCCCGCAGGATGCCACCCACAACAGTTGCCTAACTCCCGGGAACCGACTGATTGCTAGGTGAAGAGGTGCATCAGGTGAAAAGAATCGTGTCCAACTGTTTCTGCTCCACTGGCGAAATGAACCCGGGTCCGACGATTGTATATCGAGGACGAAGACCATTGATACTGGCTGCACCAGGTATGAAACTTACTTAAATCTTTGAATATGTTAGGTTATCTTGAGGTTATCTTGAGATGATTTCGGGGCTTTAGTGTCCCCGCGGCCCGGTCCTCGACCAGGCCTCCACCCCCAGGAAGCAGCCCGTGACAGCTGACTAACACCCAGGTACCTATTTTACTGCTAGGTGACAGGGGCATAGGGTGAAAGAAACTCTGCCCATTGTTTCACGCCGGCGCCTGGGATCGAACCCAGGACCACAGGATCACAAGTCCCGCGTGCTGTCCGCTCGGCCGACCGGCTCAATAATAATATAATAATATTATATTAATATAATATATTTAATAATAATAATTTAATAACAATAATAATATATTTAGATATTAAGTCACTGCACATCCTCTCATAAGTTCTCTATATATTTGAAACTCTGAACTGTAATGTCAGTCCTGACCTTAAACGCTTCCTAGAAGGTTGTAACAGAACCCATGAGCACCACACCGTGAACAAATACCTATTTGATATACCAAGAGTGCGCCTTAACCAAACTAGGAATGCTCTACAAATCAAGGGAGCCAGAATGTGGAATGACCTTCCCAATCATTATCAAAGACTGTACCTCTCTCAATCAGTTTAAGAGAAAAACTAAGTACTACCTAATTAACTCCAAGTAACTTGGACAAGTTGGGGTTGGACAAGTATATGAGTGGGATTGGGGGGTTATAGATAGGAGCTGCCTCGTATGGGCCAATAGGCCTTCTGCAGTTGCCTTTGTTCTTATGTTCTTAACTACCTTACCCGCTAAAATGTCAGCCCATGTCTTACTATTGTCAAACAACACTGTTTGTTGACCAACTTGTTTACCTGCTGACATCTGTCATGTATAAACTTTAAAAGAAAATTGTAATCTTCTGTTTATTTAGTTACAATTACTTCTGCTGTTCCGTTCATTATGTAATTATTATCATTCTGTTTTCTTTTTTTCCATTTTTCAATTAAATGTTTGCTGTGATCTCAATTTATTTTAAGATTTAGTCTTAGTGTTCCCCCCCCCCCCCACACCCTGCCCGAAATGTTGTGTGTATTAATAATAATAATAATAATAATAATAATAATAATAATAATAATAATAATAATAATAATAATAATAATAATAATAATAATAATAATAATAATAATAATAATAATAATAATAATAATAATAATAATAATAATAATAATAATAATAATAATAATAATAATAATAATAATAATAATAATAATAATATTAATAATAATATTAATAATAATATTAATAATAATAATATTAATAATATTAATAATAATAATAATAATATTAATAATATTAATAATAATATTAATAATAATATTAATAATAATAATAATAATAATATTAATAATATTAATAATAATAATAATAATAATAATAATAATAATAATAATAATAATAATATTAATAATAATATTAATAATAATAATAATAATAATAATAATAATAATAATAATAATAATAATAATAATAATAATAATATTAATAATAATATTAATAATAATAATAATATATTTAGGAACAGTACATACATAGTTGCAGAGTTTCAGTACAAACATTGTGTTAGATTTCAAGATAGAGGTAGTACATACAATACCTAAAGCCACTAGTACGCAGAGCGTTTTGGGCAAGCATTGCCTTTACGTATTGTATGTACTAATTCTATCTAGACAACCCAACATTCTGTTTGTAACTCATCTTGTATGTAAATACTCTTACCAGAATAAACATTGATATATTTATTTATAATGTATAGAATTGCAGGCGATGAGTCACAATAACGTGGCTGAAGTATGTTGACCAGACCACACACTAGAAGTTGAAGGGACGACGACGTTTCGGTCCGTCCTGGACCATTCTCACAATCGACTTGAGAATGGTCCAGGACGGACCGAAACGTCGTCGTCCCTTCAACTTCTAGTGTGTGGTCTGGTCAACATGTATAGAATTGGTGCACTGGTGAGGGAAGAGAGTGAGGGAAAGATGAGGGGAAGTGTCTCCACCTCTCTGTTGTGAGTTGTGAGTTGTGAGTCCTGATGCTTGTTGGGTGCTGTTGGCCTTACCACATGGGCACAAACACTTGTGGTTGTGGTTGCAATAACCTTTCAATTACTTGGATCAAGGAGGAATCGAACTTGGGCCTGCTAAACACGGAACGCTATTCCTCTCTATCCACTAGGCCCTGAATGCTCACAATAAGTTCTTCAGGAGTACTTAACTGCTCGCCAACTGAGACTTGGGTACCAGTAACATAACATCTCGACCTGGAGCCCCAATATGATATATGGAAGTAATCCACTCCTTCATCCATGCTTCACAGAGGTAATGCAACCCTTCATCCATCTCTTACAGAGGTACTCTACCCTTTCATCCATCTCTTACAGAGGTACTCTACCCTTTCATCCATCTCTTACAGAGGTAATCCAACCCTTCATCCATCTCTTACAGAGGTACTCTACCCTTCATCCATCTCTTACAGAGGTAATCCAACCCTTCATCCATCTCTTACAGAGGTACTCTACCCTTTCATCCATGCCATATAGAGGTAATCCACTCCTTCATCCATGCCATGTACATATAATCCATTCCAACATCCATTTCCTATTAGGTAATCCACTCCTTTATCCAATCATCTATATCATATAGAGGTAATCCACACCTTCATCCACGTTATATAGAAGTAATCCACTCCAACATCCATTCATCCGTGCCATTTAGAGGTTATCCATTCTTTCATCCATTCATCCACGCCACAAAAGGGGGTATTCCACAAGACCGTAGATGATAACGTCATTCGCTTTCTATCACTTGGGCAATTTCATCGAATCCAACTGTATGTGGTGAGGATAATGATACACAAGACTGTATTTAGTGTATAATGAATAACTGGGAGCGGAAGTTACAACCCAATCCTGGGTAAATTATTATATCACACAAAGATAGATTGGGAGAACAGAGAACAGGTCCTCCACGTGTCTGGAAGACCGGACACATGGAGGATCAGACACGTGTCTGGAGGACCAGAAACATGGAGGATCAGACACGTGGAGGACCAGATACATGGAGGACCAGATACATGGAGGACCAGATACATGGAGGACCAGATACATGGAGGACCAGATACATGGAGGACCAGATACATGGAGGACCAGATACATGGAGGACCAGATACATGGAGGACCAGATACATGGGGAGCAAAGCTGCTGGACGTGGCAACAAGAAACTTTCTAAGCCAACACATCAAGGGACCGACAAGAATGAGAGGAGAAGATGAACCAGCCATGTTTGATCTGATATTCACCCTGAATGAGTGAAATATAAGGGAAGTTAAGCTGGAAGACCCGCTGGGAATGAGCGATCACAGTGTATTGATCTTTGAGTACCTGGTAGAGCTAGGAGAAATCCCACCCCCCCCACCCCACCAAAAGAAAAGATCTAGAAAACAATGGCTGGCGTACCGAAAGGGAAATTATGAGGAGAGGAGAAAATTCCCAAGGGATATACCATGGGAAACAGAACTCAGAACTAAGTCCGTAAAAGACATGTTGGATTATGTCACCCAAAAGTGTCAGGAGGCAGTAAAGAGGTTTATCCCGGCCGAAAAAGGAAAGAAAACTGTGAAGCAAGATATGAATTTGTGGTTCATAGGGCATGTACGGAAGCAAAGGAACCGAACCAAAGGGAGGAACTTCCGAAATAACAGAACACCAGAAAGCAGAGAGAGATACCAGAGAGCCAGGAATGAGTATGTTAGTGTGAGAAAAGAAGCAGAGAAAAAGTTTGAAAATGATATAGCTAATATAGCTAAGACCGAACCAAAACTGATTCAGTCTTTCACATCAGGAGAAAAGAGATTCACATCAGGAGAAAAACAACAGTGAAAGAACAAGTGGCGAAACTTAGAACAGGTGAGGACAGGTACACAGAGAATGACAAATAGATGTGTGAAGAACTCAACAAATAATTCCAGGAGGTCTTCACAGTAGAACGAGGTGAAGTCCCTGCCCTTGGAGGGGTGGCAATAAATCAGGCGACCTTGGAATGGTTCGAAACTACCTGAGATGAGGTCAAGATTGTAAGGATTGCAACCTTACAAGGCCACAACAGTTGTCTAACTCTCGGGTAACAATTTACTGTTAGGTGAACAGACTCATCAGGTGTAAGAGTCCCTGT